CGCAACAAACGTCGGTGCCCTGTATTTTCCATAGGCCGTGCTTCTGCTGCCAAAACTGCTTTTTGCTTTTATTGGATGCATTTTGAAAAAATTATTTTAGGCCTGAAGATTGAATAAACCCCCAAAACATATTTTCTGAAAGCAGACATCTGGCAATAAGAGACGCACATTTTGTGAAAGGTAAAGATGCCAATTTTTTCCAAATGTCATGGTTTCATGCTAAAACTCCCCTTCTCATCTTGTCTTTTTGGCATGGAGGAATAGGCAGCAAGAGCTCTGCATTTATGGATAATAGCCGTTAAAACATCTGCCTCTCTCTTTACCTACCTAAAGTGGAACTTCTCTCTGCCAATCAACATGGACTATTTGTAATCCTTATACTGCTAGCATTAATAAATATATATATATATATATATATATATTGTATCATATTTACTTGATTTACACTTTTTTATTACATTTCTTCAGTTACTTCCTGGTTTCCTGCCTAGGCAAATGATGTCATACATCCCAGGAGTTTTTAGGAGGGGAGGAAGGGTTCTCAGCTCAGCCAAATGCCTGAGCTAAGTGCAGATGGATGGATTCCAGGAAGTAAATGCTACATGAATCATCTGCCCTTACTCAAGATGGCCAGGGCCAGAAATGCTAGGCGGTGTTTTTCAAAATGATTTCTCAGAAAAATAAAGCATGGAGGCATGGATGGGTGTGTGAGTTTGCTTTGAATATTCAAGTGGAACTGCATTGTATCTGAGTACCACAAACCAGAAACACTATTCAATTCATTTTTAATATTCAAAACAAACTCCCCGATCCATCCATGTCTCCATGCTTTATTTTGCTGAGAAAGCATTTTTAAAAAACACCTTCTCGCATTTCCGGCAGTGGCCATCTTGAGTAAGGGCAGATGATTCATGTAGCAGTTCAATTCATTTTTAAATTCATTTTTAATAAAAAAAAAAAACTCCCCCATCCATCCATGTCTCCATGCTTTATTTTGCTATGCAGAGCAATATAAAGCAGCATGTTGCTGCTGACAAAGGAGAGATCTGTGTTGTTTTCACACAGACCATTCCCCTGTCACTGTTCCTCGGTGGTAGGCAGGTGCCGGTGGGAAATCTCTGGCCGCGACCCGGTGATTGACAGCTTTAGCCACCAATGGTGGAGCAGGTAAGGCGGCGCATGCGCACACATACTTCCTACTGGGAAATGCAAAATCACATATGTATATAATACTCCTAGATTGTAAGCTCTAACGAGCAGGGCCCTCTGTTTCTTCTTGTACCAAATTGTATTGTAGCTGTAATGTCTACCTTCATTTTGTAAAGTGCTGCGCAAACTGTTGGCGCTATGTAAATCCTGTATAATAATAATAATAATATAATAAAATTGTTTTTTCAAAGAAAGAGTAGGTTTTATAGTTGATGCATTTAGGGCCCATTCACACCAGAAACTGCATGTAACTGCGCATTTTTACCTTGTACCTATGCATGCAGTTGATGTGCGTTTTACATGCAGTTGATGCGCGATTTTCCTGCAGTTGGTGTGCACTTTTCTAACTGCATTTGACCTGAGGTTACTCCATTCTTCTTTCCTTGGGCTTCTATGTGCACTGTGATGAATTGCAGTGCATTTGTGCACGTGCTGTACTTTTCTGCACTGTGCTGAACTGCTCTGCAATGGTGTGAACTATGCCCATAGGATTGCAGTTGGAATACAGTTCAAAATGCAGCCAACTGAATTCAACTGCATTGGGTGTGAAAGAACCCATTAGCTGGAAATTCCAAACTAAAAAGGCTCATTACTGTTGCACAGTACAGAGGAGTGCTGGATGTTTCTTTTGGAAATTCAAAACTACCCTTGTAATGGGGCTGCTCCCCAGTTAAAAGCTCCTTTTTGTCTAGGGTAGCATTAAACAAATCAGTTTTACTGATCACACTCCCATGATATTCCTCCTCTCCGTGTGATTGGTCTCTTGAAGCTGCTTGTCTTCAACTCTCCATTGGTCGCAAGCACTCTGACGTCATCAAGTACAATGTAGGATCCACAGTCCTGCAATGTAAGTGAGGATGCCAAGGGCCCGTCTGCAACTTGCAGCTTCTAAACTTAAAAAATGACTCTGTTCTTAGTTAAAAAAGTATACATAAAGTCCAATTGGAAGAAAAAATATATTTAAAAAATATTCTTCCCAAATATATTGACATATTTGAAATACTACAATTTTGGCGGTATTCATTATATATATATATATATATATATATATATATATATATATAATATATATATATAGACTGTATGTTGAAATGCGTTTTTATTACAAAATATATGAAAATATTTTTAACAATACATTTTCAAATATACTGTATGTCTTTAAAAATACATTTAATCTACATTTTTGGAATGCATTTATAAATATATGTAAAAATATATGTTAAAATTACTTTTTTTATATGTTAAAAAAAATCTGAAGAATATATTTAAAAAAAAATATATATTTTAAAAAATATTTTTCATATAGTTTGTAATATATAAAAAACGCATTTCAACATGCAGTGTATATATATATATTGAAATATATTGAGTACGGCAAAAATTGTAGTATTTCAAGTATATGTCAATATATCAATATATGTGGGAAGAATTTTTTAAAATGTATTTCGAATATATTTTTCTTCCATGTGGATAAAGTCCAATCTGAAAAGAAAAGAGTTGATACTCACCTTTCCCACTTCCTATGCCTCCAAATTTTGTTCCCTTTAAGGCTGGCCATGCTTTATACAATTTTCTTGTACCAGTTAGATTTACCAACACCAGGGGCGGGGACTGACCATTTGGAAACTCGGGCCCAGGGTCAGTAGGGGGCCCCATGAGATGCCCCTGGTATCTTTTTCATAGGCTTTTTTGAGTTTGGGCAAGGACACAAGGGCCCCATGATCCCCTATTGCCCGGGGGGCCCCATGAGTTGTCAGTCCGCCCCTGACCAACACCATATAATATGAGCTCAAACCTAAACAATTTCAGTTTGTAGGCAAGCAGGCAGGCCTTTGCACTACACAGTCAAAGGTAAATCTAAAAGGAAATCAAATACCACACACTGTGGTTCCATCCACTGGCCCCTAAGTCATTACTGTGTCCTCTAGTGATATGGGGCCAGCAGATGGAAGAACATCTGAGAAATCCAGACCTGTGGAATGCTGAAGATCCTTCAGCTACTGCAACAGTACAAAGATTGGAGATGTGGGTGGTGGGATAAGTGGGTATTCAGGCTCCATGCACACTAGTGCGGTTTAGCATTTTCTAGCAGCATTTTAGTAGCATTTAGGAACATTAGCATTTTATTAGTATTTTAAAGTACATGTAGGAAAAAAAAACTATCAAAAAGCTGTTTGGAGCGTTTTTAATAGCATTTAGGAGCATTAAGCATTTTTTTTTCTGCCAGAAAAATGCTCCAAAAACTCAACAAAAACATTTTTTGCTGCTCTTAAACGCTGAAGCTTGAAAAACGCTGCTAGACTAAAATAGTGTGCATGGACACGTAGGATAACATGAATTAGCTTCTAGGAGCAGAAAAAACATTTCTGATAACAGATTTTAGGAGCCTATAAAAATGCTAGTGTGTGTGGAGCCTTACTCTCCATTCTCCCTTCTTCCACCAGAACAGGAATGGGGAAGAACGGAAAATCTTCCCGTGGTTCCTGTGATCCAACTGTCCAAAAGGGAATTCCCCCATGTTGGAAAGATATCTGCTCTCTTTCTGTTAAAGTGGTTTTAAACCCTTACATATACCCAGTGAAGTAACTGGTCCTAGGTGATAGACAGTTGAAACAAATCTGCCTACGGAAGTTGTACCTGTTTATCTATAGCATTCTTCCTCTACATCCATTCAAAGTGCAGAATGTAAACAGGATCTCTCAGCTCTGAAAAGCAAGGGGCGGGGAGCTGAAGTTACATCAGTGAGGAGAGCTCTGAGAGCTGACTGGAAGAAAGACCCCCCCCCCCCCCCCCCCTTCACACAGCACACAGGAATAGAGCTGAGGCTGTCAGTCACATGCTGTGACCATTTTTCTCTTGGTGTCAGAAAAACTTGTCAGAAGTGATTCATGCTGATAGCAGTAGAAAGAAGCAGCAGACAGAAATAACACTTAGTGCTCTGGATTGAGACAAGCATACACTTTAGAGGGATATGTTCATGTTTCATGTCTGAGCTTTGCAACCACTTTAAGTCTACAGGAGAGGATGTGAAGGGGAATCTCCTTAATGAGAAACAGATGAAAAAAATACTGCCAGTGGTTTCAACCTTCTTCTACTCTAAAATGTTAATAAAAAAAATAAGAGGGTAAAGGTAAAAAAGCCCCCTGAGGTCAGGTTTTTGTTGCTGTCAGGAGATACAAATCTATTAAAAAGAGTAAAACCCTTCTCTATCCAAACCTAAAACACACCATTTTTGTCTCACACTTTTGAAACTATCCTGCTACCTATCCTTGTATGAAATTAGCAATATTAAATATATTCTTTTAATATAATTATCATTATTAGAAAAACCAATCTCCTAGATTGTAAGCTCCAAGGAGCAGGGCCCTCCTATCCCTCTTGTATTGAACTGCATTGTTGCTGTATTGTCTCCCGTTATATTGTAAAGCGCTGAGCAACCTGTTGGCGCTATATAAATCCTGTATAATAATAATAATAAAAATAATAAAACCAGGGCAGGTTTTGCCATCCTTGGAATGTGGACTCTGGCACTTGCTCCTATGATTTTGTTACATGCTTGGCAGTGTTTCCTGTCTCAGCATCTGTCAAGGTTCTCATAAAACCCCCGCTGATCAGGAAACAACAGCTTTACTCCCTGATCTTACCATAACATAGTAAAATGTTAGGGGGTCAGCAGAAATACATGGTTTATTTGTCACTTCAATTTTTTCTTTTTTTTTTTTTTAAATAGTGCCAGATTACTACATTTCAACAACGTGGATTTACGTACGTGAACAAGTCTTTTTATCGTTATTCAGTTTGTACCCTTCTCTGCAGGCACAGGTATAGGATCCAGCAGAACTGACACACAGATGCTCACACCCATGATCTCCTTGAGCACACAGGTCTATCACTGCAAAGCAAAATATATAGTGAATATGGCAGCCCCATAATGTCATTTGCCATTGCATAATAACATTGATCTAATACCAACCAAAATCAATCACATAAATAAAACATAGGATAGACATATTTGGCCTGACCTCACTTACAAGGATTCGAATAAATAGATCCACCCTAGGAGGTAATAATAAGTACTTCTTGTCACGGATCCACGGTCGCCGCAACCAACAGGCGACAATCGCACGACCGCGACTAACAGTAATACGTCACGCCCACGGCGTCAGACACCAGACCTTCTCACCAAACTCGTGACCGAAGGACCGGCCGATCTAAAACCGCGATGTGACGCGCATAATAAGGCCCCACCCAGCTGCACCATGCACAGTGATTGTCCAGCTAATGGGCTACAATCGGTGCCTGCAGCCTGAATGTGCTTGTTTACTGGGTCGGGTTAATTACGCAACTAACCCTCTGTCTGCCACCACCACTTTTGTTGGAGACTGGGAAACTCCCGTTATCAAATATAAACTATAATGATTGAAATATTGATCTATATAGCACAGCCCGCGGACCTGTTATACAGAGATATAACAAACAGTAGCGTCTCTTCAAAGGCAGGGATTCGTGAATTGCAAGTAAGCGCTTAGAAACAGTTTACCACTTTCAGAAAGAAAGATTTATTACTAAAAGGGTCAAAACAGGTGCAATACAATATTTACAAAGAGATGTCACAAAGATATATATATATATGTATATAAAGACACAGCAAAGAGATAATTAGGAAGAAGATTACAGGGTTAAGTTACTTGCCCATATGCCTGGGTTTGCAGATCCAAGTTATAGAGCAGGGTGAGTTCTTGATCTCCTTTTGTTACGATGTTGCTGGGAGATCTCCGTGTGTGTGTGTGTGTGTGTGTGTGTCAAGCTCTAACTCACTTGTCTCTTCTTAAAAGTCCCTCTCAAAGGGGAGGGGGGCTCTGACTACACGTTTTGGGAGTGGTCATTGGGGAACTCTAAACTAACTACCAGCTTCATATCCCATGATATGAACCATACAGTTGACCTGAGGAATGTGCAATTACTCTGGTCAGTTTGATAATGAGTGGGCTTACATAGTTTTGGGTGACAAAAGTTACACTTCAGCAGACGGCCTGGCTCCAATCTCAGATGTCTTAGCCTGGTTGTCCCACACCATCTGTCAGGAGATAACGTTTGCCTCACAGGAATGCAGGGGGGATGTGAGGAATGATTTGAGGAATACCTCAAATACAGAAAGGTTGAAGGAGAACTCCGCTCCAACTCGGATGAGCTAGTTTGTTACATTTCTAACTGTGACCTAGGCGATTCAACACTCTTTCAGCTAGAAGAGGGAAATATGGCCCTAATTATAGGTAGAACTAACAAATTTGTTTGGTTTCAATTCAGATCGATTAAATTACTCATTTTGTTTAGTTGCATTAATAACAAAACTAAATTAGTTTTGTTTTGTTTCGTTTATTAGTTTTCAACCGGATTCAAATCTTTGCAATGGATTTGAAGTATTCAAATCGAATTTGAATCAAATTCAAATTGAAAATCGATCTGAATTAATTGTGAAGAATAGCTGGTTCTATTCTATTCGAAATTCAATTTTCGGAAGACAGTCACATTATTTCACAGGGGTCAGTACTTATTGGTGGGTAGAATGGGGATAGATGGGGGAGGGTTATGCCGGATGATAGGAAGGTTCCCATGTTACAAGCAACCATTAGAATTGGTACCATCTGTAGGAAAATAAAAAATATGAAAAATACTTGTGCACAAGGTGCCAATGGCTTAAAGTGTTTGCTCATCAATGCCAGAAGTCTGCCAAGCAAAATAGGTGAGTTGGCAGCTTTGGTGCATAAGTAGAACTAGGATTTAATAGGTATTGCTGAATCTTGGCATCATTCTTCACATGACTGGACCATTAATATTCCTGGCTACGTTCTCTTTTGGGGAGACAGGGTAAAAAGGAAAGATGGTGGTGTCTGTCTCAATGTGAGGAGTGATCTCAGAGCGAGTGTGAAGGAGGACCTAGTTGATGGACCTGTAATCTCAAACCATGCAGAGCTTATTATGAATGTCCATATAAAAGAACATCTGGGTAGCAGTGACCATAACATGAATTAATTTATTGTTAGCTGTAAACATGAAGCACATACGGGAAAAATATAAAAGCTTAACTTTAAGAGAGATCATTTTTCCAAGGCTGAGAGCTGCTCTCCAAGACTTAGACTGGGATGGAATATTGGCATCCATGAACAGAACACAGAAATGGGAGTTCTTCAAAAAGACAGTATGTGAACACACTGCAAAATATATTCCCATTGGCAACAAATTTAAAAGACTAAAAATCAAACCTATGTGGTTTATGGCCAAAGTTAAAAAAAATCCATAGATAATAAGAAAAGAGCTTTTCTTAAATATAAAAATGAAGGAATCCTATCATCGTTTAAACATTCGAAAGAATATAACAGAATATGCAAAAAAGGAAATAAAGGCCGAAAAAATTTAAATGAACAACAGATTGCAAAAGATAGCAGGACAAACCCCAAAACATTCTTCAAATATATTAATAGTAAAAAGGTCCGGTCTGAGCATGTAGGCCCTTTACAGAATAATCTAGAGTGGATGACTGGGGACAAAGAGAAGGCAAATTTATTAAATACCTTCTTCAGCTCTGTGTACAAAGTAGCATGGGGGAGCTCTTGTCCATAATGGGCATGGCATTGACACATCCCCAGATGATCCACATTGGCTCACAACTGATATGATGCAGAAATATTTGGACAGTATAAAGGTGAATAAAGCACCTGGACCGGATGGCATACACCCACGGGTCCTTAAAGAATTGAGCTCTGTCATTTCAAAGCCATCATTTATAATTTTTAGGGACTCTTTAATGACTGCCATAGTACCACTGGATAGGTGTAAGGCCAATGTGGTGCCAATATTTAAAAAGGGGTCAAAACCTTACCAAAGTAATTATAGACCTGTTAGATTAAGTTCTATAGTTGAGAAGATACTGGAGAGTTTAATAAAAGACCACATAGATGAGTTCTTGCTGCACAATAATATTTTAAGCAACAGACAGCATGGATTCATGAAAGACAGAAGTTGTCAAACAAATCTGATTTCTTTTTATGAGGAGGTGAGCAAAACCTTGGACAGAGGGGTGGCGGTGGACATGGTATACTTGGACAGAGGGGTGGCGGTGGACGTGGTATACTTGGACAGAGGGGTGGTGGTGGACGTGGTATACTTGGATTTTGCAAAAGTGTTTGACACAGTTCCCCACACACGGCTAATGTGTAAGGTAAAGTCTACAGGCTTGGAAAAATCCGTATGTAAATGGATAGAAAACTGTCTAAAAGATCGTATTCATCATATGGTCGTATGGTTAATGGTAAATGATTCATACTCTGAATGGTCTAGGGTTGTCAGTGGTGTACCCCAAGGTTCAGTGTTGGGACCCTTACTTTTTACTATATTTATAAACGATATAGGGTCAGGGATTATAAATCCCATTTCAGTCTTTGCAGATGACACCGAGCTGTGTAGTTGGTTAACGTCCTTACAGGATGTCTCCAACTTACAAGCCGACCTCAATGCACTGTTTAATTGGGCAACAATGTGGCAAATGAGGTTTAATGTTGATAAATGTAAGGTTATGCACTTGGGGGCTAAGAATATGCATGCATCATACATACTAGGGGGTACAACTGGGGGAATCAATGGTGGAGAAGGATCTGGGAGTTCTGGTGGATCACAAGCTTAATAATGGCATGCAATGCCAAGCTGCGGTTTCTAAAGCGAGCAAAATCCTCTCTTGTATTAAAAGAGGTATAGACTCCAGAGAGAGAGATATCATATTACCCCGATACAAATCATTAGTAACACCTCATCTGGAATATGCAGCTCAGTTTTGGGCACCAATTCACAAAAAGAACATTGGGGAACTGAAGAAAGTACTAAGAAGGGCAACCAAACTGATACGAGGCATGGAGGAGCTCAGCTATGAGGAAAGATTAGAGGAACTGAATTTATTCTCTCTTGAGAAGAGGCGATTAAGGAGGAATATGATCAACATGTATAAATACATCAGTGGTTCATATAGTGAACTTGGTGTAGAGCTATTCACCCTGAGGTCATCACAGAGGACAAGGGGGCACTCTTTACCTCTGGAGGAAAAGTGATTTAACCTCCAAATACCGAAAGGTTTCTTCACAGTAAGAGCTGTGAAAATGTGGAATAGACTCCCTCAAGAGTTGGTTCTGGCCAGCTCAGTGGATTGCTTTAAAAAAGTCCTGGATTCTTTCTTAGATACACAGAATATAACTGGTTACTGACATTTATAGGTAAAGTTGATCCAGGGAATATCCAATTGCCTCTCGGGGGATCAGGAAGGATTTTTTTCCCCTGCAGGAGCAAATTGGATCATGCTTTGCTGGGTTTTTTGCCTTCCTCTGGATCAACTGTAGTGTACAATTATAACTTTTTTTTTTAATGGTTGAACTGGATAGACTTTTGTCTTTTTTCAGCCAGACTAACTAACTATGTAACCAGTGTCAGGGGTTATTACTGTGTTCACCAGTGTCAGTGTTTGTTACTGTGTTCACTGACACCAGTGTCAGTGTTGAGGGTTATTATTTGAGGGGTTAGGATTTGGGTCCAGGTGAAGGGAACATTTCAGCTGGCTCCATACTTATACTTGCATGTTACTGCACGTATTTTAATTGGCACATTAGTGACATATATTTGAGGAGATTTACTCTGCTCTCAGAATCTGTTGCAGCTGTGCATGGTAGCCAATCAGCTTCTAACTTCAGCTTGTTCAATTAAAGTGGTTGTAAAGGCTCAAGATTTTTTACCTTTAAAAACCTTCAGGGTATAGCTACCCTCCCCCCTTATAAATAACTAAGCCCTATCGCATTCCAGCAATGTGCATAAGAGCAGCAGCGGTCTATCTCTCCTTATTGGCTGACGCAGCAGTGGAAGCCATTGGCTCCTGCTGCTCTCGATCAAAGCCAGTGAAGAGAAAGTGGGGGACGGGGCCAAGCCGTGCTCCATGTGTGAATGGACACACAAGTGCACAGCTCAGGAGTGAGCCTGCTCTAATGCCCCCATAGCAAATGTCCTGCTATTGGGAGCATTCGGCAGGGGGGAGGAGCCAGGAGTGCCAGGCAGAAGCAGGTAAGCATAACATGTTTGTTATTAAAAAATATATATATTTCCTTTAGAATCACTTTAAGCTTTCACAATAAAACCTAGAAGGTGATGGGTTTCTATGCAGAGCTGCACAAGATTTAGCACTCTCTAGGTTTAGTAAATAACCCTTATCGTATTTGCATTTTGGGAGATAACCTAATAATTTTCAAATGGTCTTCAACATGTGTCAGTGCAGTAATCAACCCACCTTACCTCTCAAAGCATCACAATACATAGATGTCAATACATATGTATTGTGAAAAAATGGGTCAGGTAAATGGTAGCTAATGGAAAGAAGACCCCATCATTTAGGACTGTATTTGGACTAGATGCACAGCTAGGCTATGAGGAATAGAGATATGATTTGCATGGCTTCACCATAGCATTTAGATTAGAGGTCAGGACTCCTGACCTGTATTCGTCTCCGATTGCTTCAGTATTTTGTGATCCGTTGAGTACAGAAGTCATGGGAAAGCATGGCATAAACTTTTTTTTTTTAGAACAGCATGGCAACCAGGCAACTGGCATTTTCAAAAGGAGAGACAAGCAATGACTGACTCCATATTCTCCCACAACAGGCTTTCTTTAAAGCCCATATCACAATTCCTAAACATGGAATATCTCAAACCAAACATCAAAAATTCCCTTTCTTTACAGTTTATTTGACCACCTACATCCTGAACATCTGCAGTTCTTATGAGAACTCCTTTCGGCCTTTCGCGTTAACGGGAGCTCTGTTCTAGTTCCCTCTTTATGCTCTGACTTAAGTAAGGAATGTTTATTTAGCTTTACACTGGACATGCAGTCTAAGAGGGAAATCCAGAGGTTGTTGGGACATATGGGTGGTCTATCTGTATATAAAGAAGTCTTCAGGCAAGGTAATGAAGGCAGAACGGTAGCCATTTCTAAAAACTGCAAAATTTAAACAAAAGTATTGCAGTTCACAACAAAGCAATCTCTTGGGTATTGTTGGTGCTCCTTTAGGCTCCATGCACACAAGCATTTGTTTAAGCTCAAAAAATGCTGGATAAGAAAAACCACTGGTAATAGTGTTTTCTTTAGTAGCGTTTAGAAGCATTTAGGAGAATTAGCATTTTATTAGCATTTGTACAGTACATGTAGGAAAAAAAAGCTATTAGGAGCGGTATAGGAGTGTTCAGTGTTTTTTTATGTTGGCAAAACTCTACAAAAACAATTGTTTTCTGCTCATAGATGCTGAAGCTCAAAAAACGCTAATAGCCTGCAGTAGTGTGCATGGACACATAGGAGGACACTGTTTGGTAGATCCTTTACATAATATCTTGGAGGACAACCTAGACCTTTTTTTTTACTTTGCCTTTTTTTTTTATTCCCAATTGTATTTGTTGACAACTTACTGTTGTATTTTTTGTTATGTTCCTTGCTATATTGTGAAATCCTTAAATATTTCAATAAAACATTATGGGGAAAAAAGGGAAAACACTATTTAGCTTCAAGCAGCAGAAAAAAAATGCTAATAGAAGCTTCTAGGACCCTAAAAAAACACTAGTGGGCATAGAACCTAAGAGTCATGTGATCGAATTATTGTAGCTATTCCATAAAATAAAGTTTTTGATCAGGAATGGATCTATTAAGAACATAGTACAGCTTTATAAACCTAAAATGTAGCATACCTAGATTTAGTTTTTTGTCCATACATTTGGAATAGGAAGGTTACATACAAGCAATTGAACTGGTTTACCTAATAAAGTGGTTGACTTTATTAGGTAAACCGGTTCAATTGCTTGGTAACACAAATCAGCCAATCACATGGCAGCAACTCAATGCATTTAGGCATCTAGTTGTGGTGAATACAACTTGCTGAAGTTCAAACTGAGCATCAGAATGGGGCAGAAAAGGGATTTTAGCGACTTTGAATGTGGCATGGTTGTTGGTGCCAGACTGGCTGGTCTGAGTATTTCAAAAACTGCTGATCTGGAATTTTCACGCACAAACATCTCTAGGGTTTACAGTGAATGGTCCAAAAAAGAGAAAATGTCCAGTGAGTGGCAGTTGTGTGGACGAAAATGCCTTGTTGATGTCAGAGGCCAGGGGAGAATGAGCAGACTGGTTCCAGATGATAGAAAGGCAACAATAGCTCATGTCAATATGGACCACAATCTCTGTTTCCAACACCTTGTTGAATCTATGCCACAATCTAAGGCAGTTCTGATGGCAAAAAGGGTGCCAACCCGGTACTAGCAAGGTGTACCTAATAAAGTGTCCGGTGAGTGTATATTTAAATATCTCAGCTCCATTCTTCATCTTCTGTTCCCTTTGCCCATGGGTTTGAAATAGCTTCTACTTTTTCCCATGTATAGATTTTTTTTGACGCCATTCCATAAATACATAACAAAAGGTAGTTTCTACTTACTAGAACATGTCTTTCCATCTGCATTAAGCTTGTAACCGGGGTTACACTGACAGTAGTAGGAGCTGGGAACATTAACACAGATGTGCTGGCATCCATGGTCCATTTCAGTGCACATATCTACACCTGAAAAAGAAGGATAATATTCTTTAAATAAAAGATCATTTACTGTATCTTCATTGAGCTATTGGCTTCTTGTTTTTCTATATTTTATATAATATAATCTGAGACTTTGTGTAACACAAAGGACACATGTTTAGTTCACTAAGGACAAGCCAACAGAACCTAGCATCCCACTGCCACTGGTTCCTACGAAAGTCACAGGTACTTCCCTAAGAACCACTGAAGTCCCTAGGAATCTCCACCCGTTTTAAGTAAAGAGCAAGGATAGCAGTGACATCACTGTCCAAACCTGGCTACTGGCCATATATGAGCAATGATGTCACCACCATACCCACCCCTTCCTTTATATACCTGATGACAGTACAGGGAGCTGTCATTTGGCAATGTGTACCATCTGGATTGTTCGTGTGCAAGGGGCCTTTTTTTTCACCAAATTGGTAGACAGCAGGCATTGTGCTTGAGAATAAATTTACAATGAAGGATATTTTTAATATTTCTTTAATAAAGGACTTGTCAACCATTTTGATGTTTTTATGTGATTTTTTTTTTTTTTTTGTGAATGAGTAGGGGTACTATGTACCCAATACTCATTCACAAAGGGGGGTCAGTACCTGGGGGTTGTCTTATTTTTAAATTGGGCATCCAGATTCCAATAAGCCCCCTGCCCGCAAACACCCACAACCAATTGGGTTGTGGGGAAGAGGGCCTTGTCCTCATCATTCCTTTTTCAGGAAACTGTCAATCACATGTCATCTGCTCGCAGTTAAACACTTTTTTCCTTAGTAAATGTCAGTGCTCCAGCACTTTCTGTACATCACAAAGATCTGCCTCTTCATAGGCAGGATTAGGACAGCCCCCAAACATGTTATTTATAGGAATTTGACATTTTTTAAGCTTTCATTTCAAGCATTTAAAAAATCCCTGCTCCTGGGTACATTTTTTTAAATGTTTGGGGGATTGATACATACTCCTATACTATTTTGAAAGATTTAGGTTCAGCATCCTAACTTGCTCAAACCGAACCCAGAGTAGTTTGGCTCATCACTATACTTCACTAATACTAATCCATAGGAGCCTCCTGCTGCAGGAGAAATTCAAGATAATTGCTTATAAGCGTAAGAGAAAATAAGTGGGATCTCCAGGACATATAATTGGAATTGATGGTGGATGGCAGGTGTAATGTCAGTTACAGTACAATGAACTCCATGCTCTCCTTTCTCAGATATTGCTCTCCAAAAAGTGTGCGGGGAGTACAATAGTATTGTTTGATCAGTGTCTACTTTCTGTCCCTGGTTTTTCCTGGAACTCTTTTTTTTTTTTTATATGGGGTGCACGTGATGCTAAGAATTCTAAATCAAAATGCATTCTCGTGTTGCCTGTTCATACTTATGTAATGTAGAAAAGGCAGCTGACACAAACCTTTTCTTGGATTAACTAATCAGACTTCTGTAAGAAAAGCTAGATTTCTGCAAAGACTACATTAGCCATGGTTGGGATGCCAGAGACATGCCAAATACTTTGCTGAATGTAGAAAAGTTTGATGTGAATCTACTGTGTTGATTTCTATACTATTCTTCATGGTCATTAATGGCTTTATGCTTTCTACAGCAATATATTGCAGAAAATTTTTGTAAATGAAAATGTTACATTTTTTAATGCTAACGGCGTCAATATGGTGCCATCAATTGTACATTCACATCAGTCCCTGCCCTCAAGTTGCTTACAATCTAAGGTCCCTAACTCACATTCATACATACACATACTAGGTCCAATTTAGACAGGAGCCAAAAAACCTACGAGCATGTCTTTGGTGTGTGGGAGGAAACCAGAGTACCCGGAGGAAACCCACTCAGGCACAGGGAGAACATGCAAACTCCAGGCTGGTAGTACTGTGGTTGGGATTCAAACCAACTTTCCAATTTCAGTTCCAAACTGCCATGCCCATTATTAGAGGATACGGTGGAAAGAGTTGATCTTGCTTGACCTTTAGCACAGAATAGCTGCAACAGTGGGCCAGAGCTATAAGATGCCAAGCATGGTTCAACCAATAGGCATCCATTCCAAAACATATGATACAAAAATATAACAAATTGGCACCTCAAGTCAACCTGTAGCCAGGCTATGGTCATTCAAATATTGAATTAACATGAATATTTGTAGCAAGCAATAAATGGTTTTAATATATTAAAAAAAATGTCAGGCCTATGGCAATTATTCAAATGTCTATTATTAATAAGATTAAGTTCAGCTACGAATTATTGCAAAGAATGAATAACAACAGTAATTCCAGTTTCAATCATAGACTGTTTGATTTTCTATCTTTTCCAAAGAACACAGCAGGTTTCCAGCTAATGGACAAAATCAATGATGTATAAGGTACAAGCAGACCCACGTTCAGGCTGCAAACTGTACAAACAGTCCCTTTCATTAATGACTGTAGATATACCCTTGTGCTTTCCTTTCTGAGGATGGTAAAAGCTGTATTTGTCCTGTCCATGGACAGAGTGGGTAGACTACTGGTGACGTGATTCAGCAGTTCTTAGTCTGCAACCAATCATGGTTTTATATAATTAGCAGAAATGTGTTCCCTTTATTGCAACTATGACAACAGTACTTTTGCAGACTGGATTTAATTAAAAACCTCATCCATTTGCTCCTGTAAATAGCCAGCTGCCTTATTGGAACTCTTCGTACTGCACATCGTTAAATTACAGGTACCTGTTGCATGTAATATGGCTTCCCAACAAAGTCATTAAAAGAGCCCGATTATCTTTTTTTTTGGGTCCCCTGCTGGCACTCCAGGCTCCTCCTCCCTGCCGAATGCCCACAATAGCAAGCCTTTTGTGATGGGGCTTTAGAGTAGGCTTCCTCCTGAGCAGCAGAGCAGCTCCAATCCTCCACTTTTGGGTTCCCTGCCAGCGCTCCTGGCTCCCCCACCAACACGTGCCCCCATAACAAGCCACATGCTATAGGGGCACTCATGCTTGCTCACTCCCAAGCTGGCTCTGTGTGTTCATAGATACACAGAGAGCATCTCAGCTCTGCCCCCTTATCACTGGCTGTGGTTGATAGCAGCGGCAGCCAGTGGCTCCCACTGCTGTCTCTGAGCCAATGAGGAGAAAGAGAGTGGCTGCAGTCATGACATTTCTGGAATGAGCTTGGGCTCAGGTGGGGGGGGGGGGGGGGGGGCAAGGAGCTGCATGCAAAAGTTTTTTTTTTTTTTTACCTCAATGCATAGAATGTTAAAAAAACCTTCTGCCCTTAGGTCCACTTTCATGTTAACATGTCCCTTGGAATAATCATGTGATTATAACAACGATAGACAATCCCACCTAACAGTGATTTTGATGAATTTAATCAAATAAGGTGGTACGGTTAATCTACTGAATGGAAGAGGTGAGGATTTGGGACAAGGTTTCAGAAATTCTAGTAATACATACAGGTGACTATAAACAAAACTTGTAATTCTCAAATCAATTTCTGTAACACATATTTCAACTTACCACAGAGCTTATCCTGAAACTGGATGGCAAAGTGCTCAATGAGATCAAATGTTTCCACATAGAACACATGGTCTTCAAAAGGAGGAGAGGCCATGGCCCTCAGAGAGTTGGCATCTGCTCTCTGTACACCAACTGCATAGATTTCAATCTTGGCTTCCCGCGCCTGTGCAGCTACCTCTGCAACACGATCCTGAGGCCTACCATCGGTTACGATAACAGCAACTCTTGGAACTCTCTGAGACAGTGGTCGTGCTCCTTCTTCTTCCGTGAAAGCAACATTCGTGGCATATTGTATAGCCAGACCGGTCATGGTCCCTTGTGCCAGAGGAATTATGTCATTAATGGCCTTCTGCATTTGGGGCTTTGTAGTGTAAGTCTTAAGAGAAAACACATTTTGCACTTGGCTGGAGTACTGGACTACTCCAATCCTTGTATGGCTAGGTCCAATCTCAAGTGAACTGATCAGGTCAATCATAAATTTTCTCATGCTTTCAAATTCAAAAGAACGAACACTTCTTGAGCTGTCGATGATGAAGACTAGGTCCATGGGGCCAGTCTTACATTTCTGCACTGCAAAAGGTGTAAAAAAATAATACCAGTTATTTATGCGCGCACACACACATATGGTTATTGAAAACTTGTATAGTTACAATTATCTGCTTTTTAAGCTACCTTTTAAATGTAGCACCCTCCTAGTTAGGTGCTAGAATGTGTATAGTTAGGTTTCTCTGTCAGGCTGTCAGGTAAATTCAGTGTGGTATTCTGCTTAACAGAGTGCTGTGATTGATGAGTTAGGTCTGCTCATGATGCTCTGGTGCTGTTGGAGTTTGTTTGAGTTCTGCCCACCTTCAGGAAGCTATGAGAGCCTTCCAGAACATGGGTAGGGGCTAGGGCTAGGCAGATGAGCAGCATGAATATGGATACAGCCCTGGCCAATTGCAGGGGAAGGCAGTCCCATTGCATGCTGGGAGTGGTATTTATATTCTGATAGCACATGGGTGCAGGGTCTTTCCCAGGAGCGGATTGTACCAGCCTAGCTGAAGGCAGGCTACCTCGCCTGGCATTTGCTGCCATGTGGCCTCAGGTGGGTTGACTTGAGGGCCTGATGTTAAAGAGAGCTACCCTGGTTCTTCAGTAAGCTAACTGAGGGGAGTTGTCTGCAAAAACTCTGTCTGATATATCACTGAAGGGTTTTGCTTGGATGATTGGAAGCAGGCTACCATTCTGTCCTTGGGCCTCGTGAGTACTGGCATTTAGGAATTTGGGGATTCTGTGTGCTTGCTACCTCCCCTGTTGTTTGATAGTCAGCGTGGGTCTGGAAAAAGGGAATGCTGTCTAGTGATTTGAAGAGCTTGTCCACATGTTGCTACTGCAAAAGATTTTGCTCAGCTACATTACTATTGGGCTGTCACAGCCTGCCTTAACTGGATTATACCTGAGGAGCTCAGCCCTATAAATACTACTACTGCAAAGGTACTTTGCTCGCTCGTAAAACTACTTGCTGCTATATGTTACAAGGAAGTCTGCTACCTACTGTCAGCCAAGACTTCTACAGTGTTCAACCAAGAGATCAGCTAGATGTGAATAGTTTCTCAGTGTGAATAGTTCTAATTTTGGAGTATCTTACTACATTTCCCAATCCCTATCCCCAGTTCCCACAATAAAACTCCAAAACAAACATCCCCTAGACTGGTCATTGAAGACAATGGGTGGAAGTTTGTGAGTGTATTTGACTGTGCCTGGCTGCGGGGTGAAGTAAGGGGAAATCGGGGACCAGGGGCGGACTGACCATTTGGCACTGCCCAAGGGCCCGGAGTCAGTAGGGGGCCCCATGAGATGCCCCTGGTACCTTTTTCATAGGCTTTTTTGAGTTTGGGCAAGGGCACAGGGGCCCCATGATTCCCTATTAGCCGGGGGGCCCCATGAGTTGTCAGTCCGCCCGTGCCTGGTACCTTTTTCATAGGCTTTTTTGAGTTTGGGCAAGGACACAGGGCCCCATGATCCCCTATTGCCCAGGGGCCCCATGAGTTGTCAGTCCGCCCCTGTCGGGGACATCATATAAGCGGCTCCTTCGGGGGTAGCACTACATAAATTACAGGGCATAACTATAGCAGGTGCAGATTAGCATCTGCTCTTCTGAGTTTGATGTTTGAAGATGTTTTTTTAATATAATTTTCCATCACACAGTCACAAAAAAAAGCACTTCTTCTTTCTATTTCATTTCTCTTATCTATTTCTATCTATTATCTATCTCTTTTCTACTTTTGAGACAGGTTTTCTAAGCGTAATACTGTGTGAAATCTTTTATTAAAAGGTAATTCCTCCCCAAGGGCTAAACATTCATTATGGGTTTTTCATAACTAATATAAAATCAAGAAGCTGTAGTTTTTGGATCAGGGCATGGTGACTTTTAGTTAAGCTTCTAATTGTAAGCCTTTCTCAACCTTTTCAACACAGAGGAACCCCTGAAATAACTTTCTGGGCTTGGGGAACTCCTGCAAAAAATGACTATATCTACAGCTCATGATACATTAGTGTGATGGTCAGTAGGAAGAATGCTTCTTTCACTTGTGGTCATTGGGAAGAATTATCCCCTTATATATATCTAAAAAGATCAATGGTGTCAGTGGGAACTTATCTGGGAGGCAGAAATTGCTCAATGCTCAAGAAACCCCTAGCAACCTCTGGAGGAACCCTAAGGTTCCATGGAACCCTGATTGAGATTAGAGAATGGTTGAAACTCCTGTCAGTATTTTGTTGTACCTGGGTTGCAAGTTGGGGAAATTTCACATCACTTCTTGTCCCAAAGTTGCACCAGGAAATGAGAGGAAATCTCTACTTGAGGTGGAGAAATTTTCCCCGTAGACAGTTGTCACCAGAACAGGATTCCCCACTGGAAGATTTGCCCTCACCCCTTATTCTGATAACACCTCTAAAAGTTTGGAGAATTTCCCTGGAGGAGACATAGACAGCAATCTAAACTTTGATATGGGTGCAAATCTTTCCCTACTCAATTTAAGACAGTTTGGCTGTACATATACCTTAAATAATAATAGAGCAAAAGTCAGTTTTCCTTTACACACATTCCTTACTTGACATGGCACAAAGCAACTTTAACAAATTCAAAGGCATTGCAGCCTCCATATGATCTACCTCAATGGCCACTAACTTAGGCTAGTCATAGATGGACAGGTGTCTTTCTGAAAATGACTGGTGGGTGGCCAAACATTTATTTATACCCTAACAATACTTCCATCCACCAGGGAGGTGACATGCAGGACGCCAGGTCACATAGTAAGAGCTGGGGTAATTATGCATTTAAAAATTGGAAAGATTATCAAACTGGCACCTATACTTTTTCTTGGTGGGGTTTCACTCTAAAGCAGTGGTCTCCAAACTGTGGCCTGAGGGCCAGATGTGGCGCTTCGCCTGCCTTTATCTGGCACTTGGGGCACTTTTCCTCCAACTGACACCAATGATGCAGCACCAATACCCCCTAATAACAATATCAAGGAGAAGAATAGTGCTCCATTGATGGTAACAAAGGGGCACTATCTTCCCATTAAAACCAATGATGAGGCATTGATGTCGGGGCATTTTCTACTCTCACTGGCCACAGTCCGGTCCCCCTAAAACATGAAGAACAGTAAACTGGCCCTTTGCTTAGAAAGTTTGGAGATCCTTGCTCTTAAGCACCAGAAATCTAAAGAGCCTAAAGAAACTCTAAAGAGGTACACAACACCAACTAAAGCTGTCAGAATACGTCTCAGCAAGGAGGATTCCTCCATTCATTTTGTTTGTGTGGATGGAGAAATCTATTACTTTTTTTCTCATTCACCTTCACATTTTCTTGATGGAGTTGTACTCTAAAGCACCAGAAACCTAAACAAAGTCTAAAGAACCTGAAAGCACCAAATAAAGCTATCAGAATACAATGTCTCAGTGGGGAGAATTCCTCCATTCACCTTTTTTGGTGTGAATGGAGGAATCTGTTGTCCGCTGGCTGAACGAAAAAGTAACAGTCTATCGCCAGCTTATGTGTTACATTTTGGATTTTTTTCCAAAAATGTGTTTGATCCTATTAAGAAGTGGTAATCAAAACATATTCCTTTCCTGCTCTGACCAGGTACAGAGTTAAAACCTTCACCAAAGTTGTAATATTCTGCAAGGAACCATCTTGACTAATTTCCAACACTTTATAGGCTACATTATAAAATGTATTAGGAGAGCAAAACAAATGCTATCACCAAGCTCTTTCTCTTTTGATGTGTCCTCATAAAATTGAGCCTTACAATGTATGGAGTAAGATTTCATTTCATGGGGCTTTATTTCAATGGAAATTGTGTATCAGGGAAAATTAGAGAAAAATAACTGTTTGATTAATTTAATAACAATTGTGTTCAGCAATCCATACTAAATCTTAAATTAGCGTTAATTAATCCAACCTAAACTGCAGAAAGTTGATTTAGCCTGTTTTTCACAGATCACTGCACAGTATTACCATTTGTCCAATCTTCAAACACACTAAAATTTCAATATTGTCCATCTTTAATGCCACTTAGGGGGTCTATGTATGTATATTTTCACCCAGGATTCGCACAACTTTCACACAATTCTCTAATTGGATTCAACTGCAATCCTGAGTGGAAAAAAAGTATAACTAGACCCCTTAAAGTATTTTGCTGAATATGAATATGTCTACATTATATCTTAATGTCCATCATTAAGATATAATGTTGTGAATGTTTCTTTTTGTTTAACCTTATGTATTTTATATATATAATATCTTGTATTTTTATTTCCAAAAATAGTTCTAGGCTTCATTGCATGTTTACCTGTCTATTCTTAACTGCTGTGTTGACAAACATAATGGTTGCTTACAGAGCTCAGTAGTTCAAGCTGAAATGTACACACAGCTGAATTAGTCAGAGTGGTAACTCTTTCTCCTTTTCGTAACCTGCTTCCCTATCTAGACAGGGCTGTATAGCATTTCAAAGTCAAAAGTAAACAGTTTCTGTGCATGAAGTACTTTCAAAATTGGTGCGATTCTGACGGAGTTGGAATCACACCGTTATGACCTCTTTCATTGGAAAC